TCCCTCTCCCTCCCTCCCTCTCTACCTCCCTCCCTACCTCCCTACCTCCCCCCTCCTTCCTTTTCTCTCCCTCTCCCTTCCTCTCTAAACATATACTCAGGTGAGGATTAAAAAATAATAAGATAAAAGAATAAGCCACTATATCCATTATTTTTGCTAACCTCAACATCTTAGATAATGGCAGGTGTTCAATTAATGTTTCTTAAATAACTTATCTGACTCTTAACGGCTCTAATAAGCTCCCAGGGTCAATGAAGAGGTAAAGAAAGGTTTATTTTACAATCACTGGCTCCACCTACATTTATATTGAGTTCTGCTGACAAAGAGAGGAACTAGAGTAAACAATTAAAAGCTCTCTGCTCAGGGCCTCACCCTTGGTTGGTCAGCCATTGGGCTTCTAGCAATCAGCCTGATTCAATTGTTTGGGGTTGTAGGGTCCTGATTCAATATATATATACTTACCATATATTTTGAAAACTTATTTTCATGCCAACAAAAACCCAATTTGCAGCCTATAAAAATTTAAGGTATCACCCTTCCCTACACAAATGATTTTCAGATTTTTGTCAAATGGGAAGAACTGAGTGCTCTAGTTGAGCTCGAATAAAGTTGTTAGAGGATGCTCTTTTCTATTTTTGGAATATTGTCTTTCATTAAACGTGGAATTTGTGTGCATCACTGTATGAATTAATGCATTTTAATTAACAATATTTTGAAAGGGCCAAGTAGCTAAGATCTATTTAATATTGAATGATGCATAATTTAAACCTGACCCTGAATGGTATTCATTATACAACATTGTATTGCCAATGATAATCCAGTTGAAAATCCTAAAATGCCTTTGTTCAAAGAAATGTGAGACATTCTCTCCATATTTTATTTCCACAGCACTGAACTGTTCAGCTGAAGAGACTGAGAATGACCACAGCCCAGAAACACTCACTAAAAAACTGTCAGACGTATGCCAGTTACGGAGGGACATTGATGAATTGAGGACTACAATATCAGACCGCTATGCTCAGGACATGGGAGACAACTGCATTACTCAGTGACCACGTGGCGGTCCCGCAGCAATACTGACCCATTGATAAATGCTGCTGTGTTACAGTTCCTCATATTTCTTTTTAGGAGCCATGTTGGTCTACGGCTACACCGCCCTAAACATACCCGATCTCGCCTGATCTTGAAGGAGCCATGTTGGAAAGTTGCAGGTGACATATGACCTGCACATAGGATCTTTTTTCTGTGGATTCATTTGTTGGGGGGGGAAGAGGGGATGCAAGGGGTTCTCAAAGGGGCTTATCTAATCAGGACAAAAAAATCAAATTACCATTTGAAAATGTGATGCAGTGTATAAGAAAAAAATTCTGTATTCTCAAACTACTGATTGTAGGACCAAGCTGTGAAGAGTGCCCATAAAGGGGGTAGGTTTCTTTTTATCCTGTTGTTTGTGTGTGTGCACGCATGTGTGTGTGTTCACAAAACTATAAGGATTTCTAGGGTCAAAGCAAAGCTTCTGAGAAAGGCACGCACTGTTTATTCTTGTAATTTTTTTCTTTCATGTAGAAGCTTGTGTCATACTTCGGGGTTTTCAAAGGCTTGCTGAGCAAGAGCTCCAAGAGCAGGCGAGTGTTCTAGGAGCACAGGAGGCAGAACCGTTGTGTTTGAACGGCCCTGTGCTGAGATGGTGAGGGGTGGGACGGGGCTGGTTTTGGTACTGTAGATAGTCGGCTGTTTTTCCAGAGTGGTTGCGATTGCCCTGGAGGTGTGCAATTTTGATGTGATGATTTTTGTCACTAGCCTAGTAATTTATATATCACAAGGCAACTGAACATGATTTGAACTAATTTTAACATGTCCCTTACTATGTACAGTTTTTTACTTACATATATGTATTGTAAGCAAAGCCATACATAATGAATGCAAACCTTTTAAGTCCTTTCATTATTGTAAAAGAAAGATTAACAAAGTGGCTCTGGAATAATAGCTTATTTATTCAAATCTCAAATGTTTACATTTTAACAGTTTTGTATCTGTTATAAAGTTGAAACTACTTTAAGAAAAAGCCAGCCTATCCTCTTTATATCTGAATTATCACTAGTGTAAAATGAAATTAAATCAGGTGATATTTCAGTTCCTTTTATAGGTAAAGTACATTAAAAACGAGTTTCCATAGAGTACAAACTTGGTCAGGTCACTATGAAATGGAAATGATACTAAGTAGACATGCAATCACTTAAACTTCCAAATGAGAATCTTCCTGTTTTAGGCATCCTAAAATATAATACTAATGGGCAAGTAATCACTGACTTATTTGGGTCACTAGGTTCTTACTTAAATATCTGCTAGGTTTTTAGTGTATGTTTGGGGATTTTATGGTTATTATTTTAAACAAACTTTTGGTCATTTGTTTTAATCTAAAACTTTTACAGCATTTTGCTTAATTCATATATCTTGAGGTAAAAAAATTTTTTAACTTAGTAGGAAATTAACTACTGCTGATGCATTTCATTTTCCAAAATGTATACACTCCATTAAAAAAGGAAATTAAGACAGAATTGTTTAAGTATAACCTTGAATTACAAAACATAATCTCTTGGAGTCTGGAGTTTATGAAAGGACATAGATAAAAAGTAGATAGCCTTGGAGGGTATTTTGGGGGGAAATCAAACCAATAGTATTCTGATTCATCAGTATTTAATTTTGATTTTCATGTTTCAGAAAATTCCCCCTCCAAGACAACCTCTTGTGTTAGTTTGAACTAGGATGTTTTTGGAAGTTATTACAGTGATACAGGTCTGAGATGAAAAGTAACTTAATTTTAAAGTAAATCTGTTTGAAAATTTCCTTCGAGATGAAAGCTTCTGAGTTACGCCTCTGTGACTGAAGCGCTTGTCTTCTAAGGAGGCATCTCAAGCAGGTACCACCTTTACCGGTAGTCTTCCGGGCTTTGAGTTGATCTTATTTATTTAGCCTCGGTCACATTAGAGCAGAGATACAGTAACGGAGGTCTCAGTAAAAGACCCAGGTTACCCGTGCTCATCACAGACACAATGGTGGTCTCTTCATTTGCTGTCAGAAAAAAAGGATGACTTTAGTTAATTGTTAGTAAATCTTCAGTGGTCTCTCACATTAAAGGCTTAAGTGTATTGGCTAGATAATTTCATGCCTGAAATTTTCTTTTAAGAAGTGTGGCCCCATTTTATATCTGAAATAGGGTTCAATATTTAATGTTAACCACATTATACTTTAGTGAAGTTCATTTTGGTTATGACAGTTGATTAAGTTGAATTAGATTTCTTTTAGTAGTTTGTTAGAGACAATCTCAAGGGCTGGGAAATGTTGCTAAAAGGGATATTTATACATTTCTGACTTATTAATGAGCTTATAAATTAATGTTGTTATAGCTCAAGATTTATTAATAGGAATCTCTTAGAGGGTATTTTTAAAGGAACTACTTTATTGGCAAAACATTTTTTCACCCTCAATAATAGTTCACTGAATAGCAGCTGAGAAGTTGGGCTGTGTTTTTACATAGCATAGTTCAGCTCAGCCATACCTGTAGTTTGGATTATTGGTATCCTCTTACATAGAGTTCTCTCATTGTAGATATGTAATTACAGTAATAGGCAATTCTCATAACCATGCTCATGTAGACCGTATCATTTGAAACTGCCAGTAGCTATAGCTCTCAGAGCCAAAGTTAATTCATTTCATTTTCACTTTTAACAGTTTTCAGTGTTCACAAAAGAAGAAAAACTATTTCCTATTTTATATATAGAGTATAGTTTCCAACTTCACCCCAAAATGCCATGGTGGTGTATTGCTGTATGGTAATATTATACATTTAATATTTAATCATGAAGGGGGAAAGATTTTGAATTTTTTCTTATTTAAAAGAAGTGTTGAGTATATTAAGAATGTAGTTTCAAATCAATAAGTCATTAACAACACTCTTGCAGCCACATACAGAGAGAACCTTTCGTGCCTTTTTGCCTGCAGTAAGCATTCATTTCTATTTTACATGAGCTGCAAGAACGTTGGTGATGATTGCACCTTGCTCTTCTGTAAGTAGACCCATTAAAGACTTTTTTAAAGCAAGGAGCAGTTTTTCATTACTAGGTAGATAACTTAGTAAACATGAGAGGAGGTGTCACATACATGTCTTTGGAACCCAGCCTTTTCCCCATATGATGAGCAGGAAACTCCTTGGGAATGTCGTGTGTGTGTGTGTGTGTGTGTACATATATGTGTAAATAGTTATTTAAATATGTAAACATAAAATTGAGCATCACATTGGTGTGATGGCACGAGTGGTAAGGTGCTAGGTGGTCACATGAAAAGCACAGCACAGTGTGTAATCAGTCACTATGGCTGGTGGTTTTTGTAAACTAGGTTCAGTTTTTGAACCACCCAGAATACCTCGTGTAAATACAGTGGTCATGACTTAATTGAAATACAGTCATTGTAAAAAGAATGTGAAGCCACTGGTTGGCTTATGCCTTCTGATCTTTCATTCTTGCCTCTTTTTTTGTAAAGAGGTTGTTTTTTGTTTTGTTTTTGTTTTTTTAATAGGGTTTACAGCTAGAATTTTGAATGCCAAAGTTCTATTTATTAAATTTTTAAAAAAGTTTTCAATGTTAATGGCTAAGTATTTTTCCACTGGATTATTGTTTGTTGATGTTGGAATTTGTATTTACAGAGAAATAAATTTTTTATAAAAAGCTTTATGTCTTCCAAGTACCTAATTTTAATATAATGATGTATTTGAAATTTCAGACTCTCCTGCATTTTCAGTGATGAGACTATACTGACTTCTCCTTTAGGTAAAAGCTTTTATAAACACACAAGAGAATCTAGAACTAGAAAGTGGAGACTTCTGCTTTACATCTGTCTTACACTTTCTTTTCAGTTACTAAAAAGCTTTTTCTCATGGCCTTCCCATGAAGGGCACTGAGATTTTTTGATGATAGGTGCTATAAATACAAATGCACACCTATCCATTTCAGCTAGTAGTGCTGTGTCCCCCTTTTGAATTGCTAAGAGTGTTTTTCTACTTTTCAAACAGACAAAATCTGATTTTGGTTTTCTATATTGCTGAAAGGTTGGATTAGCAAATCAAATATTTATTTTTCCCCTTCTAATCAAAGTTGAAACCTTACTGAAACATGTACTACAAATGTGACCTTGTTAAAGGTTATACTAGGCAGGGACCTTGACATCCCAGCTTTAATGGTTTGCAGCCTAGATCCAGACATGCCCTGTGGATGGCACCCTGGGTCCTTGTGCTGACACACCTGGGCTATGGCCTCAGTGTCTCTAGGAAGTTGTTTAATATTTGGGTTAGCAGTATTTGTTTCCAGCACAGCTAACTTGGCATGGTTCCGTCAGTCTTTAACGAGGCATCTAATTCATTTAACAGAGGAAGGAATACTGAGAGATCATTCATCACAGACTCTTTAGGTTGCAAGCAAATGTCTTAGAAATAACAAAGTGGATAAAAGCCTAGAATATTTCTAGGGTGATTAGTGAATACTTTTCTTCTTTAGAGTGAAAGATACATAATTTTTTATCTGTTTTTAAAAAAATGTTTTGATGGAGTCAACAGAGAGCTGCTGATAGGGTACATCCCATTGATTTTGTTAAGAAGTTCGAGCTGCTGCTTATCCCAAATCCCCAGCCAAACCACCATTTTTTGGTGGAAATGTAGAGGACAGTTAAAAAGAGGTGTGAAAGGTGTCGTTTGTAATGGACGAAATGGCAGAGCTGGGCCCAGTAGAGCAGACACTTGACTCATGAACAGCACGCCAACATGTCAGGCAAGACACTCCTTGATTTAGGGGAGATTCCACTCTGAAGACTGAAATTATGATAAAGGATTTCTAGAATGCTTAAGGAAAACTGCCGACCCTGAAAAAAATTCAGTGTGCTCACAAAAAGAGAAAAAATCTGCATTTTAGCCAAACTATGTTTACTTAAACACCAGTCTCACGTTGTGATCTCTACTGAACCACTCATAACAGAAGTTTTTGTGCTTGTTTTAATCCTCGATGTTTTTTCCATTGCTATTCAGAGCGAGCAGAAGAGAGAGGGAGAGAGACACGTCGATTGGTTCCCTCTTGCACGCGCCCTGACCAGGGCCAGGGGTTGAGCCTACAACCAAAGTTGTGCCCTTGACCGGAATCGAACCTGCGACCCTTCAGTCAGAGGGCAGGCGTCCTAACCCGGAGCGAACCGGCCAGGGCATAACAGAAGTTTTAAACTGGACATACACCCACCTCGTAACTCGGAAATTCCACTCTCGGTATTTGATATATAAACATATGCCTACAAAGAACCTGTAGATGAATGCTTACAGCAGCTTTATTTATAATAACCAAAACCTGGAAATAGCCTTTCAGTAAAAGTCCTCCACCCAGAAGTGAAAAATGGCATCCATCTACAATCTTGGGTTCTAAGTGATACTCTATATACTTTTTTGGAAAACAGAGTAAAGTTGAATACACAAGGCCATGAAGTCAGAGTTGGAAAACAGGCTTCCTGTTAGCGAGAGCCATTTTTGTTTGCACTTCCTCTGGAATATTGTCCTTTGTCTCCCTGCCACCTGTGTTCTCTGGATCTCCACATTCATGTGAAGTGCTTGGTCTCATCCTTCCTGAAACAAACTTTATTGTTTGTTGTTTGGGTGCTGGAGGCGCCTTGTTGTCTTAAACTTTGTGTTTAATGAGCACCTAGGATATACTATCCTCCAGAGATGTGCCAATATCTGTCCTTAGCCCCAGGAAGGAAGAACTCTGCTAACAAGGAGAAAATGACTTTAAAGCAGAGGTCACCCTAGGAGCTGTGGAGCTGTTAATGGAAGAGGGATACAGTGACAATAAATCCTACTTAGGCAAGTTCCATTTCCTTCCATCTCTTGGATCTCTCGTTAATCTTTCCTGTGACTACTGTTTCTGCCCTTCTGTGGGGACAGGCCACAGCATTGGCCACAATTACTGCCCAGCCCCAGAGCTCCAAGAGCAGAGCAACAGCAAGCTTTGGGCAGCTGTGCGGGTTTTGTAAGGGCAACTCCAAGGTCTGGAACACAGTATCAACTTAAAAAATGAGTGCATGTATATGCACAGGTTTGGAAAATAATAGTTTAAACATAATGGTACAGAAAGCAAGGTGATTTAATTTACATTTTTTTATTTCTACACTGATTATTTAGTCAGAAAACAAGTGGTTAAAGTTGTTAAGTGGCCCATGATTAAAGACCAGTGCACAGAAAGTGTGTCTTCTGTATCATCATCATCAGCCAAGGACCTTGCTTAAATTCCCCCGTTTATTTCTTGATGTCATACTCTACAAAGTGGCTGCTATTATTATCCCTACTTCAGGCAGACAGGAGGCACAGAGACGTTTAATATTTTGACCAAGCTGCAGCAGCTTGTTACAGGAACAGTGATAATAAGAACAAGCCTCTTTGACTCCAAAGCCCGGCTCTGAACCACTCACTAGGCCAGAGATTTTCAACCTTTTTCATCTCACGGCACATGTAAACTAATTACCAAAATTCTGCCGGACACCAAAAAATACTGTATATTTTTTTCCTATCTGGCAAAAAAATAGGTATAATTTTCAGTGATTCACACTGGACAGCTATTGTGCTGGCTGTTGTCATTTTTTAAATTTGTCAGTCTAAGGGAAAAGAGGCTAGTGCCCCTAACTAGTCAGGTATTATATGTTTTAAAAGTTCCCCCCAGCTGGTGTGGCTCAGCGGCTGAGCATCGACCTAGGATCCAGGAGATCTCAGTTCCATTCCCGGTCAGGGCACATGCCCAGGTTGCGGGCTCGATCCCCAGCAGGGGGCGCACAGGAGGCAACTGGTCAGTGACTCTCATCATTGATGTTTCTCTCTCCCTCTCTCTTCCTCTCCCTGAAATTAATAAAAATATTTGGGGGGAAAAAAACAATTCTGAGGGCACATGGGTTAGAAATTGCTGCACTAGACTTTCTCATGTTTTGTGCTCATAATTGAATTCCTCCTTCCCAAACCTGCTTCCTCACTGAGCTGCTCTCGTCCTGTAAGTTACACCTTCACTCTAAGAATCTTTTCTGGAGATTTCCCCCCCAACCCCATCCATATTAGTCTCCTGTTGCTTCTGTGACAAATTATTACAAACTTCTGGATTATAACAATTTATTATCTTAGAATTCTGGAGGTCAGAAGTCTCACTGGGCTACTGCTCCACATCCTTGTCAGCATTTGGTGGTGTCACTGTTTTGGATCTTAACCATTTCGATAGGTGTAGAGGGACATCTCATTATTATTGTTTTAATTTGCATTTTCCTGATATATGATGTTGAGTGTCTTTTCATGTGCTTATTTGCTTTCTGTATATATCTTCTTTGGGGAGGTGGTCGGATCATTTGCCTACTTTTTAGTTGGGTGGTTTGGTTTCTTATTGAGTTTTAAGAGTTCTTTTTATACTTTAAATACAAGTTCTTTTGCTGCTGTTCTTTTTTAAAAAATTGATTTTTAGAGAGAGGAAGGGAAAGGGAGAGAAAGAGAAACATAGATGTGAGAGAGAAACATCGATTGGCTGCCTCCTGCATGGCCATTACCGGGGATCAAGCCTGACAACCGGGCATGTGCTCTGACCGGGAATTGAACTGGCAACCTTTCCGTTCACAGGACGACATCCAACCAACCGAGTCATATCAGCCAGAGCTATTTTAGATACAAGCTCTTTATCAGATATGTGTTTTGCAAATATTTCTCCCATTCCATGGCTTATCCTTTCATTCTCTTAATAGTGTTTCTCAAAACAGAAGTTTTTAATTACAATGAAGTCCAGCTTTTCAATTTTTTCTTTGCTGGATTATGTTTTTGATGGAGTATATAAAAAGTCATCACCAAACTCAAGTCACATAGTTTTTCTATGTTATGTTCTAGGAGTTTTATAGTTTTGTCTTTTATATTTAGGTCTACGATCCATTTTGAGTTAATTTCTATGAAAGCTTTAGGGTCTGTATCTAGATATTTTTTTTTTGTATGTCGGTGTTTCTTTGTTCAAACAGCAGTTATTGAAAGGAATATCTTTTTTCCATTAATTGCCTTTGCTTTGTCAGAGATCAGTTGACTTTATATGTTTGGTTTGCAATTATCTTTTAAAATAAAGCCACTCCTGGAAAAGGTAATGTTGAAAGTTGTTAATATCTTAGTTTGAAAGAATTATTCAAAATCTCCTATTGACAGGAGGGACTGAGATACAGAATACTGGTTATTGAGGTAGTTATAATGGGTTGACATAAATTGACAGCTAACATATACCAAAGACATACTCTCTAATGTATTCTTAATATTGCCTGGGATCTGAGTGTGTGGGGGTGAGGAGGTTACCTGCAGTGAGAATTTTCGTCCAGGTGGGTCCCTACCCCCATATAAAGGATTGACCGAAGGATACATTCCCTTTTCTGCTCCTTCACTGATGCTGTGACATGTAAATCGTGAACTTATTATTCAAATACAATAGCTATTGCATTGTCATCAAATTATTTTTAGAATTACATTGGTGTTAACCTCAGCTTTGATGCTGTAATTCACAAAGCAAACCAAATGAATTCACATTTTCCATGGCTCTATCCCAGTTTTTTCTTAACTGTGGAGCAGAGCTGGTCTGAAAATTTTCCAGGCAGAAGTCATAAAAACGAGGGCACTATGGAAAAACAATGCACTTGGTA